GCTGCAGCACACAAGAGAACTAAGAAAGGCCGGTGGAACAGGACCTGAAAATCAGGACTATCCTCCTGAAATTGAAACGATTAGGAGGCATGGTATGAGGAAGTAATTTAGAAAAGTGTCTCCCAACCCCATTTTGAGACAGAACTTTGGAAATCGATGCTGTTTTAGTGGGTCCTTAATGGTTGGGAAAGTTACCTCATATTCATCAGGCTGTAGCAAACTGCCCACAAAAAATGGTCAACTGTAATAGCTCTGCCATTTCCACACTGATGAAGATCCTGTGGGCATTGCAAATAGTCAGTCGAAGATGTTTTCCATAATTTGTGTGTAGTACATATTTTATATTACAAGAACAATGGGTCACTGAGTTAATTTTACAATTGAAGAATGGGTCACCAATCTAATGTCACATATGTAACTTGAGTCCTAGTTAAAAAAACAAACGTTTAAATCTTACCTTTGTACAGGGCTCACTGTGATCTATTATTGATGGTTGCCTCATGAGTACATGCTTATGGTTATCGTCCTATCCCAGAATATCACTGAGGGCCTCAAGAAGTTTTCTTGCATGCACAACATAGACTATAAATGACCAGCAATATGAGAGTTGAGGCTTCCCAAAGCTTCTGATGTATAAGACAGTTTATCAAATGTCATGGCCCATACCTTTGCCCTCAGAATAGAACAGAGCCAAAGTGTTGGCAGGAACCACAGTATAGGCTCTGCTTACAGAGTTTAAACTAATTCAGCAACTGAATGCCTGCGATCCCAGAATATTTTAACAACAATCTAATCAATATGTCATGAAAACAGAATGAGAGCAGTGTTCATTTGTTTATTATCTTTGTGTGACTCTTTACAATGTGAGGCCAATGGTTGCAGTGGACTTAAAGCAGCTCTGGCACCTTCTGGGACTTTGTATATTTTGCAAAGACCCTCAATGGTGACATCATCGCTTGGGAAACAGTGGCCGGGGGGTGCAACAGAGGTGATTTATACTTACCTGATTCTTTCCCTTGCGGGCTGTGCCATCTTCGATAGTCAGTACTTGGTGCTTCATCTGGCAGGATGCTGGACTCTTGCACATGAACGAGAGTCTGTTGAGGAAATCACAAGACGGCGGGAGCCTGAATAAGACGAAGTATTCCCTATTTTGTCTTATAATGTTTTTTGAGTGCTTTGAAATTTCAATGAAATTCTAAATATGTCTTGTCACTGTTAATTTTAAACTAATTTGGTCCTTATAAATAATGTCATAGTCATTGTATCAGTACAGATTCTGTGACATTATGTCAGTCTTTATTAAATAAACATTCTTGTGTTGATCTGTGAACCTCACTGCTTTACATTGTTGGTGCTGTAGTCCAACAGCTGGGTTGCTAGTACATGTCATCCTTCCCTGATGTAGATTATTTCTATATTGAATTTTGGCTGTAAATCCTCTACCAAATAATTTTTTTTTTGTAGGATACAACTGCTAGTATCAAGTTTAATTATAATTAATTAATTAATTAATTAATTATGCTTTCTGTCTTTATAGAGACAGCATATCTCCTTTTTGTAATGCACCATATTAAAAGCATGCCAGACTGTAAAATAGAAATATTTAATTATTTTATTATATTAATGTATTCATTATTTACCCCAGTCTTTGTGCCATTCATGGATTCACTATAAAAGCATTTTACTGAGAAATTGTAAAAAATGGTTATTTAGAAGTTTAACTATATGTTTTGGATCCTTTTAGGTTAGCTAAAGTTTTTTTTAATTTGCCTAGAGGCCACGATGGCACCTAATTCACTGGCCAATGCATAAGGGGGGCACAATTCCACTGGTATTTGGCACATTAATAATTAGCAGTCATCTGAATAGATAGTGAAAAGTTTTAAATAGTAAATTGTGAAGCTATAGTAAGAAACCAGTCCAATCTGTCTTTAGACGGTTAATATCCATTCAGATTGTCAATGCAGCGGTGATGTTACGTTCTAAAATTGTCAAGTGCAGAATTATCTGATTTATTTGGAAATTAAATTCTGCCTTCCATTAGATAGTGAAGCCTTGTTCATGATAATTGATGATGTACAGATTTAGTTGACTGACAACAGACTCTGTTGACTTAAGAGGCAAGAATGTTCATTACATTATGGGGGAATATAACAATAGTACTGTTAAAGAGGAATTTTTGATATCCTTGTCATGGTCAGTTTGTCATCTTTCCACACAGCTGTATTAAGTCCTCATTTCTAATTTCTCATATCTTCCAATAGTGTTAGTGCATTAGACACTGCCCCTTGGTGCCTATTCATGCATCATATACATGTGTCTATTGGATGTTGTGCACTCTGCCGTGTCATTACTACGCTTGCACATTTGTATCTTGTAGAGTTACAGGACAAAAAAAGGGATGTTCAAACCACAGAGGTTTCACGTGATTCCAACTGCCATAGTTGAATATGCTGTAGATAATATTCTGTTAGATGTTGACCAGCCTTATTTCCTTATTCTGATCGATGGCATCCTTGATCTGGATTGTTTTATTTTTTTAAATAATTAATGCCCAGCCGCCCTATCATCTCTGGTATAGGTTCCCTTATAGCTCCCATTTCTAAATGGTTGATTTTCATCTTCAGAGGTATGTTCCGCATTTGCCCTCGTTTATTAAAGATACAGGTCATGTCATGTCTCTTGTTGAGGAGGTTGAGTGGTTAGATCATTATTGTTGGGTCACGATCGATGTAGTATCACTATATACTAATAGTGACCACTCGCTTGGCCTTAAAGCTATCTCCCATTACCTCTTCTCTGATCCTTTGTTACCGGAAATACAGGCTGCTTTTATTTTGAAGTTTACTGAATTTATTTTAAGCATAACTATTTTGAATTTGTTGAGGGTTTTTACTTACAAATGAAGGGGAATACGATGGGGGCGAGTTTCACCTCATCCTATGCCAATTTGTTCATGGGTCTCTGGGAGAGCACCACGATTTTAGAGGATTCGCATTGGATGGGGCGACTCGCCCTTTATCGCAGGTTCATTGCTGACATCCTTATTATTTGGAAGGGAGGTTTGGAGGAAATAGAAGACTTCATTTCTTATTTAAATAGTAACCGATGGGGTCTTACCTTCACCTACCATAGACACCTATCCACTATAGATTTCCTTGATCTCACTCTGATAGGTTCTCAAGGGAGAGTTTTAACTAGGACCTATCAAAAGAGTGTTGACATTAATGGGTACCTTCATGCTGACAGTGGCCATCACCCTACCTGGATCCAGAATATTCCTTCTGGCCAATTTGTTAGGTTAAGACGTAATTGCTCCTCCCATATGGATTATGAAAGAAAATCCCTCTTATTATGCTGTCGCTTCATTGAGAAAGCATATCCTGCTAAACAGATCAGACTGGCATATTTGAGGGCAGGGGCATTAGATAGGGAGGATCTTGTAACCTCATCAGGTCTCTTGAAGGATAGGGTACTGCCATCCGATCAGGAGTCGCACTCGGAAAGGGTGCTACACACTAGTAATCACGAACTTATTCTTAATCTACTAGATGAGTATAATCGCCCACAGAAAAGAAGAGCTACGTACAACATTAGCACAAAAGAAGTGGGAGTAGGGACTACTCCTGTTTTTGCCACAGTATTTAACAAGTGTTTTGATGACATTATTGGCGTCTTTTATAAATACTGGTCTATTCTTAAAAAGGATCCCTTACTCTGTTTCAGCATCTCAGAACTTCCGAATATTAATTTTAGGAAAGCCCCAAATTTGAAAAACATACTGGCCCCTTCTAAATTAAGGGACAATATGCATGGGCATATAACTAGTAAGAATGGTGTTAACAATATGCGCTGTGGGCGAAGTAGATGTCTGACTTGTGGGTACATCTGTCATAATATGTCCACTTTCAAATCGTATAGGGGAGAAGAAACTTTTGTGGTGACCCATAGGATTACATGTGGTACCTCTTTTGTTGTATACCTTTTGATTTGCCCCTGCAATCAGCATTATGTCGGACAGACCACTAGACCTCTGATATTTAGATTTAGAGAGCACAGAATGGCCATATTGAATAAAGATAGGAGATCTTCGGTTGCACGACACTTTGAGTTGTTTCACAATAGTGACCCAGCGTTGACAAAAGTGATGGGAATAGAGTATATACCTCCCTCTAGGGATCCTGCTATCAGGAAACAACATCTTACCAGGGCTGAGTCGTTATGGATTTTTAAATTAGATTCCCTCACACCAAATGGCTTAAATGAGGAGTTAGAACTTTTCTAGTTTGGGCTCTTTGGGTTGTTATGGGTTGGGCTTCATTTTTTATTTTCCTTTTTCAGGGATACATATATATGTGTGTGCTTATACATGGATAATCATATATCGTATATTGTACATGATTTTCATGCACTTTTTGGCTATTATGCTGGATATTTTATTCAGATATTTCACTTTTATATAATTTCTTATTGTTCCTCAGGATGAGGTTCAAGGCCTTGGGTTTAGTACTGTTGCTTCCAATGATGGGGTTTGATGTCTATTATGAGGGGGCGTTTATAGTCTTTTCTGACTTACCTGTGTATATATGTATATATATATATATATATTTATATATATATTTTGTTTTCTTTTTCTCCTTTATTTTTAGCCATATTGTTCCGGGTTTATGTAGCATAAGTTGGTCTGCATAAAATATGTGTAGCTGCATGATCGAGATATATCGATATGGGTGACATCTATTTTGTATTTAGATTCCTCTATTTCTTACCGGATTTAGATTCTTGCTGTCTAATGGAAATTATCAGTCTTTTATATTATTTCGTTAAATATTTTAACAGAGTTTCTTAAGCTGGAATTATACCAGATTTTGTATAATTATATTGCAAAGTGTTGTAATTTTTATTAACATGTCTATTAAATTGCTAATATTACAAATGCCATTTGTGTAAGTTTTAATGTTTAATAGGTTTCACTCTTATTGATTGATTACCTGTAATTATCCACTCCGGTGATTACCTGCTGGTTCTATCTTCAGCAGGTATTTAAACCCTGGGTGGGGGTTTACGTACACGTACTGATCTTGATAAAGTCCCACAGATTGGGACGAAACGCGTCGATCTGCGGGCTGCTGGCTGTTCCCTTCTTTCCGGTCCCCCCTGGGTTTGATGTTCGATATATATTTGCGCAATACCGCTGTCTTTTTTGAAGACTCCGACCGCGGTATATTTTCATGGGCTGTTTCTATCCAGGCAGTTATTGTTTTTATTTCACCACTCTGCACCCATTCATCTTTGCTACTCCATTTCCACCACGGTCTTTTTTTCCCTCCCGCGTGTGAGGGAGTTGGAGTCCCCCTTATTCGTATCATCTGGCTGCTATTTAGATCTGCCCAGTAGTGTTTACATCTTGCCGACCCAGGGAGGTCTTCTGGACGTTTTTTCATTTTTTCTTCTGGTTATATTTACCTCTGGTGGGGGCCCACACCGAGGTCAGGTATTTTTATATTTATATTTATTAGTAGTATTATTGTTTATACTTGTATTTTGATCTTTTGTGTTTTTCATTACGCTATTTGCTATGTCCAACCTATCTCCACTAAGTCATCGATCTTTAATTTTCCATTGAGGTTTTTCACTTTTAATGGCTACCATTTAGTGAAGTTCGTTAGTGGATACATTTAGTTATACATATTGTTGTTCTATGATACATTTGAATTTATCGTTACGATTTTTGTCTGGTTAGATTTAACAGTGGAGATTGGAATCGGCCCCCTGCTTATTACATTTTTTTATATATGTGATAATTAATAAAAGGATTTGTTAATTATTTTATTTTATTTGTCTAGGTTTATATTTATGAGCGCACACACCCAATTTTCTATTTCTGAGTGTATAACTCATCAAATCGCTAGAGTGGGTTTGGAGCTGCTTTCTTTTATAATTTTGTTGTGTTATTTTTGTTGTGTTATTTTTGTGTGTACCGCTTTTATATAAGTTTCCTGGATTGTTTTATTACCTTGCTTTTTTGTGTTTTTAAAGGGACACTCCAGGCACAAAGACCACTTCTGCCCATTGGACTGGTCTTGGTCAGGGCCGGACTGGGGATACGAAGCAGCCCTGGAAAAAAATCTATGCCAGCCCCATAAGTCATTGTGCTATGTAGGGTGTTTTATATGTGGGAAAAGCAAGTCTTATGGCTTGACTGGTGTGCAGATTTTTGTTTAGCATTGTATTATCTATCTATCTATATATATATATATATATATATATATATATATATGCAATTGAAATAGTTGGCTGCACTCTCGGATTTTCTGAAAATGTAACTTTTATTGAAATATTTAAGAGAAGATCAATGTCCTGATGCAAGTCCACAAGAGGGACTGAAACGTTGATCTTCTCTTAAATATTTCAATAAAAGTAAAATTTTAAGGAAATCCGAGAGTGCAGCCAACTATTTCAGTTGCCTATAAATATATATATACTGGATACTGGAGCCCTAGTGATGCAACAGTATGTATGTATGTATGTGTATATATATATATATATATATATATATATATATTTGTATTTTATTGATACATTTCTTCTTCTAATTCAAAATATTAGTTATTTTAGGGTAATTAAATTATACAGTAAAGCATACTCACACACAGACAGACAATCTTACTGATGCACACAAATAGGCTCATTGACAGACAATGACACACACAGACAAGGTTACTGGCACACACACAAATTTAGTACAGACAAATTCTGATACACAGACACAGCTTACTATAGACAAGCTCACTGTCACACACACGCTCACTACAGACAAGCTCACTGATGCGCACTCACTCTCCCTACAGACAAGCCCATTGACACACACATGCTCCCTACAGAAGAGCTCACTAACACACAGATTCACTACAGACAAGCTCACTGACACACACATGCTCACTACAGACAAGCTCACTGACACACATATGGTCACTACAGACAAGCTCACGATCACACTCATGCTTACTACAGACAAGCTCACTGTACACACATGCTCACCACAGACAGGCTCCAACACACCCATGCTCCTTACAGACAAGCTCACTAACACACACACACATATGATCCCTACAGACAAGCTCACTGACACACATACAAGCTCACTCACTAGCAGGCACACACACACACACACAAACTCACTAGCAGGCACACACACACAGAGGCTCCCTCACTAGCAGATGCACGCACACACACACAGAGGCAGACAGTCACTGACACCCAGGCAGACAGCCACACACACACACACACAGGCAGACAGTCACTGACACCTAGGCAAACACCCACACACACACAATACAGGCAGACAGCACACACGGGCAGACATACACAGGCAGACACGCACACACACACACGCAGACAGTCACACACACAGGCAGACAGTCACACACACAGGCAGACAGTCACGGTCAAACACTCACACAGACAGTCACACACACACAGGCAGACGAAGGTCACACACACACACACAGTCACACACACACAGTCACACACTCCACAGACAGTCACACACACACACACACACTCACGCACTCACACAGACAGTCACACACAGACAGTGACACACAGTCACACACTCACACACTCTCACACACAGACAGTCACACACAGACAGTCACACACAGTCACACACTCACACACAGACAGTCACACACTCACACACAGACAGTCACACACAGACAGTCACACACTCACACAGACAGTCACACACTCACACAGACAGTCACACACAGACACACACTGACCTGCTTCTTACCTCCTGCTTGGAGCTCCTGGAGGCTGGTTGTTGGGGAAGCAGGGACTCCTTCCTGCTTCCCATGCTGCAGTTAGCCAGGCCCCCACTGCACAGAAAGCTCTGCCACGGCGCACACTAAGCCCCGCCCCGCCGCATGCTAGCTCCGCCCCTGCCGCACGCTAGCTCCGCCCCAACGCAGTTTTTTTTTTTTTTTTAATGATCCCGGCCAGCCATGTGTGAGCTGTGCCGGCCGCCTGGCTCCCCCTGCTCCCATGGGGCCCTGTGCGGCCGCACAGCTCACACATGGTTGGCCGGGATCACAGGAGCCTGAGCACTTATAAGGGCTGTCAGCCCAGCCCCAGGTGCCGCGGCCCACAGGTGCCGCGGCCCAGTCCGGCCCTGGTCTTGGTGCTAACTCCGACGACCCTTAACCCTGCAAGTGTAATTAGTGCAGTTTTTATATACTGCAATAATCACCTTGCAGGGTTAAGTCCTCCTCTAGGGACTTCCGTGTTCTTCGAACATGAAAAGTGTTTTAAACGACACTGGACGTCCTCGCGTTGCTGGAATCCCCATAGGAAAGCATTAAATAATCCTTTCCTATGGGGAGGTCTAATGCCCGAGCACGGGCGGAGCCTGACCCAGGTAATTCAACAACATGGGATGGGGGGTGGGAGGGAGAGGGGCACTGTAGGGTTCTGCAGTACCAGGGAAATTATGTTTTCCTGGCACTGGAGAGTATTTTTAATTCCTTATTTAAAAGAAGGGATACTGCGATGCGCTACCCCCATCTTGCAACTAGTGTATTAGTCAATCCCTGTTGATCATATATATTTCCTCCATGGATATTACCTCAGTTTTTTTAATGTTTTTTTGACGGTACTCCCTGAGGAAGCCCAAATATGGGAAAACATGTTGGAACTTTTTGCTGCTGTTTTTTTTCTTATTTTGTTTAAAATTTATTATATTTTCATTAAGGGAATTGTCAAGCAAAACACATTGTTGATGCGACATACAGGGTGATACATGCGTCACATAGGAATATCATTGACATACATTTACATCGACATAGGTAAGATACAGCCTTGCATGTTACAAAATGGATATTTCATTACAATAATCTGTCCATCTATGAGGAGGATATCGCATTTCCATGAGGGCCGTCTTGGGTAACTCCTGAGTGATTACATAGGTACTATTGCTTTAGTGTTGCACAGAACAAATAAAACATACACAATATTATAGTAACAAAACTTAACGAAGGTAAAAGGTAGAATGGTTGCTATGAATCCTAGGTGTGGTTATGTTTTTTGCTGCTGTTTTTATTTATTTTAATAAACATATCTTTGCCACATACTTGCTGGAGTCCTCATTATTTATGAAAGGGTCCACAACAGGCAATATATTTTACCCCTTCACGTCATCAGGGGAGGCACCTCGTACATGCTGATACACCTATGCTTCCTATGAGTGGCTTGCAGTGACTTCCTACTGGCTTGCTGACCTTGCTTGTATCCTGATTACAGTTTGCCTCTTCGCTTCCTTGAAAGTAGTTTGTTAAAGGACCACTATAGTGCCAGGAAAACATACTCGTTTTCCTGGCCCTATAGTGCCCTGAGGGTGCCCCCACCCTCAGGGTCCCCCTCCCGCCCGGATCTGGAAAGGGGAAAGGGGTAAAAACTTACCTTTCTCCAGCGCTGGGCGGGGAGCTCTCCTCCTCCGATCCTCCTCCTCTCCGCCCATTCGGCTGAATGCGCACGCGCGGCAAGAGCTGCGCGCGCATTCAGCCGGTCGCATAGGAAAGCATTTACAATGCTTTCCTATGGATGCTTGCGTGCTCTCACAGTGATTTTCACAGTGAGAAGCACGCAAGCGCCTCTAGCGGCTGTAAATGAGACAGCCGCTAGAGGCTTTGGAGGAAGGCTTAACCCATTTATAAACATAGCAGTTTCTCTGAAACTGCTATGTTTATAAAAAAAAATGGGTTAACCCTAGCTGGACCTGGCACCCAGACCACTTCATTAAGCTGAAGTGGTCTGGGTGCCTAGAGTGGTCCTTTAAGCCCAGCCACTCTAAGGATTGACAACATTTTTTTATCCTTTTGTTGCTTTCCTTCCCACCTTGCTACTTGATCATATTCGGTGAGTTGATACGTATAACATTGGGAACAAATATAAAGAGCAATTCTAGTGCAAAGTTTTATGTTACTTATCAGAGCTCTGTATGTAATCATCATTGTTACCTTATATTCCCTTGTATTGGTATGTGATATTAAGTTGCTGCTCCCTGCTTGCAGCCCACACTGCAGACTTTTCTTAATCTATAGTTCTCCTGTGGTGGGCATATATTAGCACTTTAGTTATATCAGGGTCCTGACGGGTTAGGGCTTTCACATGGAGTACACCTGGCTGATTACTACATTTATATGTGCATATAATATTCACGATTAAATCTAAAGGTTTAGCTGGATTACCAGATTCAGGGGTCTCAGTGTCACAAGGCCTTTTAAAGTTCAATGTTTGGCATATACCTATGTAAAAGCTTTAAATCATATTTTTACTGCTTTAAAAAAACTATTGAATTGCTAGGTTGTTAAAAACACCCCTGTTGAGCTATATAACTCTCATCGCACTATCGATCTTTGTAAGTAAGGTTGCTGTGTTTTGTTTT